CTCCTCCTCCTCCTCCTCCTTCGCCTCCTCCCTCCACCCCCCTTTGTGCGCGCCGCCCAGTCGGGACCTCCTCCGAGGGAAAATCAGAGCCGGAGTCGGAACCTGCAGAAGGCAGCGTGTGGAGGCAGCGCGGTGCTCGGTCGCACCAGGGCGGGCAGTGGCAGGCCGCGAGGCCGCCACGAGGGTGGCGCAGCAAGACCGGGGCGGGGGGAAAGACCGAGCGGCGGAGGGGGGAGCAGGCAGTGCGGGGGCCAGCACCGAAGCAGCGTGGGGGCCTACGGCAAGCATACACGTACACAAAACAAACCTACACACAGACACACATGGACACACACACACACACACACAGACGAACAACATAGAACAACACACAACCACACGCGCAAACACGCGCACACACGAGCAACCACACACACGCACGTACACGCACACGTCATGCACATATAGAACCAGAGCGCACACACAACCACGCACGCACACCCGTTCACACACACAAGCACGCACACACGCACACCCATGCACGCAACAAACACATACACAGAGACACACACAAACACACACACACACACCACACACACGCACACACACACACACACGCATACACCACGACACCTACCTATACGACCACCCTGCGGGTGATAAGGATGTTGGGGGGGGAGGGTCCCAGTAATGGGCAACAGTTGTGATTGTTGTTGTGACGATGCCAATGGAAAGTGTTGCGTTGCCGCTCGCTCTTGGGAGCGTCGGTGTCGAGTTGTTTACATCACCCTTCGTTCTTTGGAGCCTTGGTACCATTCGTCCCTCCCCCTGGGAACCTGCCCAACCTGCCCAACGGCAGCCAACGGCGGCATGTGGTCACATAATACTGGAGCGCTGGCAAAGGCTGGCGCAGCCCGTGCCCCCTCTTGCACTATCGATCTCACTATCGATCTCACTCAATCGATCTCAGTCGATCAATCTCACGATCGATCTCAAAATCGATCTCATCATCGATGTCTCTCGGCTGGTCTCACTGTAGATCTCACCATCGATCTCACAATCGATCTCACTATCGATCTCACTATCGGTTTCCCAAACGATCTCCCTCATCACCACCATCACCATCACCATCATCATCATCACCATCATCATCTTCAGCACCATCTTCAGCACCATCATAAGCACCATCATCATCATCACCATCATCATCACCATCATCATCATCGTCATCGTCATCGTCATCGTCATCGTCATCTTCGTCGTCATCATCATCATCATCATCATCATCATCATCATCATCATCATCATCATCATCATCATCATCATCATCATCATCATCATCATCATCATCATCGGGACACCGACGGGACACCGAAGGAACACGGGCGGGACAGCGGCGGGACACCGCGGGCCCCCAGACGCCCGGACGGCAATCATTTGGTCCGGCCGCGCCTCAGCCACACGGGACCCCAGCGGGACACCGGGCGGGACACCGCGGGCCTCCAGACGCCCGGACGGCAATCATTTGGTCCGGCCGCGCCTCAGCCACAGGAGACTTTCTCTCGCCCGCCCACGCAGCTTCGCCTCGCCCGCACGCACGGCACGCACGAACACGAAACCGAAATCGATTTCCCGGTAGGGGGGCTCTCCGTTCCACTTCGATCTCACCCCCCAACCTCCGACAAACACACGCACACGCACGCACACCACACACAACCACACACAAACACACGAACACGCTGGCACGCACTCACAAACGCGCACACATACGCGCGCGCACCCACACCCGCACCCACACCCACACACACACACACACTTTCTTCGCCAACGCGGCAGTGTGTCGCAATCGACAGAACAACTGCAACGGGTCACGTTTTCAGTAAACGCGCGCACACACGCACACTCACACTTTTCTCTCTATCGAAGCCAACGTGTCGCAAACGGTTGTGCTACTGAGGTGCATACACACAATGTCCACTATCATGTGTACATGAACCCCACCAACCATGTTTGCGTATGTGGTTTAAGGAATGAAATCTTCCAACCTCCGTCCCCTTGCGGGAGAGGTTTACCTCTGCCCTTACCCCTTCTCGCTGGGTCTGGATGGGGCCGTTCTGAGAGGGGTTTGAGCGTCCAATATGGCCCAAATCTATCCAAAGCTGGTTCAATGTTCCAGAATAGCTCCTCCCAAGGACCCCCCCCCGAATGGGCAAGCTCTGAGGAACATCACGGTGCTTTGTCTCCTTGCCTTTTCACTTCTGATGGGCTCTTGAGGCAACAGTATGGCTCCAAGATGAAAAACAGCGAGCCCCAACATGGGCCCCAACACGGCCCCAAGAAGTGGTTTTCAGGGACCCGACGGGGGTGGAGGCTGACACAAGCCCGCCCCCTTTTTAACAGATGGCCTCCACGGTGGCCCCAAGAGTGCCCCCACGCCCTTCAAAATGGCCCCAAAAGGCCCCTACGGCCTCCAACATGGCCCCAATAGGCCGCAACAGAGCCCCACGATTGCCCGCAGATGCCTTCAAAAAGCTCCAGAGTGTGATTGCATGCTGCTATGCATCATTGATCAAGACACTTCGCCTTGTGATTGGTGTGTATGGATTTGTGGTGGGACCCAAAGCACCTATACTGAATTGGTGTATGGGTATGCTAGAACCACGCGCGCTTGGGTCCAAGCAAGCTCTGGTTGTAGTGTAGAGTGTCCAGCATCGGGGGACATGTATTGAGTCATACGTTCGTTTTGGAACTCCCTTTGGAAATCTTGGGGGCTTGTCGGGCCGTCAGATGGCCATCCTGAAGCGTCTCGAAACCATCTTGGGATACCTGGGGGGGGGGCATCGTCGGCCGTATAACGTTCCTCATGGTCCTTTTTGAAGTGTAGTGTTGCGGTTCATGCTTCTTCTCGAGCGATAACTGGGCCATCTTCAGCTCCCAGGAGAAAGTGCTCTGCCTTTCAACGCCTCTAGATGGCTTGAAATGGGCCCACAGAAACTCCAAGACGTCCTAAACTGGTCTCAAAACAGGACCATGTGGGCACACACCCGTCACGTGAGTCATGTCCCAGAAGGGGCTCTACCCATGGCACCAATCGGCTGCTTCGCATGGCGTCCCCCCTCCCACTTCGGAGCGTACGCGGGTCGTGCTCCAAAAAAGGCTCAACGCGCCCGAGCACGCGTGCTCCGCCGCAACCCGCTCTCCGCAGTGCTTCGCGGCGCGCACTGCATGCAGAGAGACCCGCGGCCTGCGCTGCACATGATTGCACAAGGATGGGCCCGTCGCCAGGCCAATCGCTTGCTCATGGAAACCGCCGACGGGGAATCACCTCCGCCCCCTACCTTTTAGGATATGTACGCCTATGTTTAGGTCGGGCATGTCCGCCTACAGGTGGATTTTGGGTGCAAAAATGAAGATGATCAAACCATACTCCAAACTTGTCAAACATACTCAGAAATCGTTCCCCGACTAGAGGGGCCCGACTTAAGCCTATGTGGCCAAACGTTTGGGCACACTTTGGCCACGCTACTGGACTTTGCGTTCCCTCAGCCGTTGTGGCAGCCCTTCGGGGAACACGCGGGAGAAAGGATGGGAAGAGGGAGGACACAGGAGGCGATCTCTTGGGAGCCTCTTGGGTCATTTTTGGGGCCTCCTGGGAGCTTCCTGGGAGTTTCCTGGGGGCCTCTTGGGGGCCTCCTCGGGCCTCTTGGGGGCCTTTGCATCTTGGGGGCCTCTCTGGTCGCCTTGGGAGCCTCTCTGGGCCGTATTGGGGCCCTCTTGGGGCGCTTCAGGGTCGTCTTGACGACCATCTCGGGCGTCTTGGAGACCTCTTGGGCCGTCCTGGGACCATCTTGGAGACCTCTTGGGCGATCTTGGAGGCATGGTCTTGGAAGCATCTTGGGCCGTCTTGAATACATCTGGCCGCAATCTTGTGCTTTCTTGGGCCATCTTGGTCGTCTTAGAAGCTACCTTACCCGTATTGGAGGCCATCTTGGAAAGGAAAACCGACTGATTTTATATTTTCCTGGGCTTTCCGGGTGGCCAGCGGGGTGGGCCGAGATCCCAATGGGAGTTGTAAAAGAACGGCAAACACCACCGAACAATCAGCACGCCGCGCACCCCTGTAGCAAGACACAGGGCGGCGGATCCATGGCCTTCGGCCCATACCGCCACCGTGCCTGAGTAGGTCAGAGCATTCATGGTAATTAGAGGCTTCATGGTATGCTTCTCGGGTGCCTCTTGGAGCGAATTTTGAAGCTTCCTGGGGCCTCTTTTGGAGCCCTGGGGGGGCTCTTGGGGGCCTGTATTGGGCGCCTCTTGGACCGTCTTCGGGTTCTCTTAGGGCCGTCTTGTGGCTCTCTTGGGGCCTTTTGGGTGTCCTGTGGCGATCTTGGGGGCCTCTTGGGCCTTCTTGGACGCTATAAAAACCGAGAAATGCGAGGAACCGACAGCGGCATAAATATATTTTTTCGGAGCTCCGCGCAGATTTCTTGGATCGCCTCTGAGCCCCCCTCCCTGACGCGCGGAGCGCGCCAGGGGCGGCGCCACAGGGGCCAAGCGCCGACCCAGGAAACCCGCGCGGGCCTACGACAATTTGCAGTCATGTAGATTGCTCTTCCTCGACTCCAGGACGCGTTTCCCTGAAGACTGCCTGCCTTCATGGCGGCCCAGCCTCCCTGGTCGGGGGGGTCGCACAGGTGGGGTAGGTACAGAGGTGGGGTCAGAGGAAAGCCGCCAGAGAAGGGCCCCGTGTAAGAAAGGAACCTGAGCATCTAGCTGGGGTGCGCCCCCGAACCACACCTTTGGACAACCTTAGGTCGGGCATGTTCCCCGTCAGGCGGATTTTGGACGTTTATTAAAAACACCCCAACACTTTTCGACAATAGCCAAAAATAGTAAAACTATCGTCCCCAGGCTATTTTTTTACTATTTTGAAATATGCCTCCTGTAGAAGGACAGGCCCGACTTGAGGATAATCCCTCCTCTACGACACCCCGACTCTGGACCCCTCGGGGCGGGCGCACCGGAGTCATCGCGGGGACGGCTGGACGGCCGAGCGCAGCTGGGATGCCCTGGGCGCGGCCGCGGCAGCGGCGGGAGGGCCAGGGCGGACAACCAGGAGGGGTGCGCGCTGGGGGGGGGGGGGCCCGCAAGGTGCGGGATTGGGTGCCCTTTGACGCTGGCTGTGTCCATGTATGCGTCTACGTGTGTGTCCTCCGAGTTTCTTAACAAGCGTCGAGGGGGCGTCGCCCCCGCCGACAGCCCCACATCGACCCCCGTCGCGGGCAGCCACCGCGCGCCGAAGGCGCGGCGCGATGACGAGGCGAGGTTGACCACCGTCGGGGGGGTACCCCCCACGCTTATCAAGAAACCCAGAGTACCCTTTGACGCTGGCTGTGTCCATGTATGCGTCTACTTGTTTGTGTATATATATACATGTTTAGATACACATCTATATATGTATATATTATGTGTGTGATGTACTGATCGCATATGTATACCATGTCGAAGACATAAACGTCTGTGCACATAGGGTGGTTATATATAAATACGTGTGATTCTGTGCGTGTAAGAATGTTTGTCTACACGTGTATACCTACGTATCTGTATGTGCTACATTGTACGCGCGTGTACGCGTGAGTCTCAGAGGGTCTGCCAAGGGCGCAGGAGGAGGGACACGCTTAGCACCTAGTCTAATAGAGGAGGGAGTGGGGAGGGGAGGGGCCGAAGCTAACAAAGAATGCCGCCCAGCGGAGGGGGCCCGTGTAGGAGGAGGGGCACGCCTAGCACCAAGGATGTGTTTTGGTCAGCATGGGGCGAGGCTCTGTCTAACAGGCGGCGCCGTGCAGGAGGATGGACACGTGAGCTTTATCACAATCAGCTTGGGGGGGTGTCTAAGGGCAGTGGCGCGGCTCGACATCTTGAATTCAAGATCTGACCACCACGGGGGATGCTCCCCTCCCCCTCCTCCTCCTCCTCCTCCTCCTCCCCTTCTCCATCCTCTTCCCTCCTCTTCCTCCTCCTCCTCATCCTCCTCCTCCTCCTCCTCCTCGCCGGGGGGTGGGGGGCAACGTCAGCTCAGGGGGGGAGGTACCGAGGTGGAATCGGCGATGCTTAGTCGATAGATCGGCGGCGTGCCCCCGATCACGAGACCGCATGTTCCTGGGCGGGGTGGGCTATCGGACCCCCATCGGCAATGACTGGGCGATTAGGGATCGATACATCCGCCCCTGGAGCCCATCCCCGGCTAACGTTGTCCCTGAGAGAAGAGGGGGGGGGGCGGGGGAGGAGATGAAGGAGCTCGGAAAGTCGTGGGGAGCTGCGCTGGAGAGGGACTCCATCGACCACAGCGCGTGGGCTCCGAGGAAGCAAGGGGGGAGAGGCAGCAACAGCATGTGGGAGTGAGGAGGTATGGAGGATGGAGGGGGCAGCAGGTTGGAGGAGGTAGGAAGGATGAGGAGGGAGGGGGCCCCCCGCCGCTCTATTTGCGGACTGGACCTTACCAGGCCTGACCATGCTCGACGAGACCACGCTGGACCCCACTGGACCAGCGCACACAAGACCCGACCAGACCAGACAAGTCCAAACCACATCAGGGGGAGGCATGAGTACCCAAGCACAGCTCCAACGACACTGCTTCTGGGATGGGTTTGTGAGGACACGCGCAACGAAACGCCATCAAGCCAGCGCGCTACGCTCACTCATCATCACTGAATGCAGCATCCGCCTTATCGCCGAATGCCAACTTGCCTGGAATCTGCAACTTCCTCACGCCACCCGTCCTTCGCGGAAAACAGCAGCGGAACAGTGGGAGGCGAAAGATGAAAAAGGTAGCAACTGAGATAGCGAGAGCAAGAAGGCAGAAAGGGAATCTTTCACTCCGTCAACCAGCCCATGCAGCAGTCGCCCGAACACTCGTCGTCATTCGTTGCGCACCCCCCCCACCACCAAGCCCAAGCTCGCAGATTCGAGGGGGTGGGGCAGAAAGACACGGCAGGAAGACCCATCGTGGAAAAGGGCGTAATGCGTAATGCCTCCCAAATGGGGTCCGACCAGAAACGGTCGGGAGATCGCGCCGCATCGCCGATGCACCAGCCACGTCAGCGCTGCATCGGCGACGACAGCATTGATAAGATCGGGCTCCACATCGAGCCGCGTCGCCGATGCATCGGCAATGCAGCATGATCCTCCGACCCCATCAAATTTGGCCTCCCCATCTGAGGGGCCTATCATTTTCTTTTATGACGACGTCAATATGTAGAGGAACGAACAACGACTTTAAACATCCAAAGTCGGAGGTCCGCGCGGATTGCTTGGATCGGTGTTTTCGAACTGCAAAGCAACTGAGGAACAGTGAGTCCCTCCCAAACGAAAAGGGTTCCTTATGCAACGCCCCGGCTGTACAGTCGGACTGGGGCCAGAAGAAGATAGTTCAAGAACATGAGGTCCTCTGCCGGCCAACACGCTCAGAACATCAAAGGGTACCCTCCCCCAGAATGCAAAAGAAGGTCCAACAAGCACGAAGAACATTAGGGTACCCTCCCCGAATCGACCTCGATCGTATGTATACCTCGGTCCGACTGTACCCAAAAGGAAATGGGACGAAGGAGGGGTGTGCGGGAACTGCGGGACTGCGGCGGGCACCGCATGCGAGCCCAGCCGCTGGGGCCTTCGGCGGAGCTCCTCGTGGGGCCACGAGGCGAATGCGAGGAGAGTGCCAAAGTGGAAGCGGGTTCTGCGTGCGAATCCTGCAACTGGGGGGCTTCGGTGAAGCTGCCTGTGGGGCCACGAAGCGCGTGAGGAGTGCCGAAATGGAGGCGTGCACCCAAAGCGAACCCTGCAACTGGGGGGTTTTGGTGGAACTCCCTGTGGGACCACGAAGCGGATGAGGAATGTGCCGAAATGGAAGCGGATACCGCATGCGAGCCCTGCCACTGGGCCTTAGCTGGAGCTCCCTGTGGGGCCACGAAGAACATGAGGAGAGTGCCGAAATGGAAGTGGGTACCGCATCCGAGCCCAGCCACTGGGGGTTTTCGGTGGAGCTCCTAATGGGGCATGAAGCGAGTGCGAGGAGAGTGCCGAACTAGAAGCAGGTACCGCATGCGAACCCTGCAGCAAGGGGGTTTCGGTGGAGCTCCCTGTGGGGCCCAGGAGTGTGAAGAAGTGCAAGCGGGCAACGCATGCGAACTCTGCCACTGGGGCCTGAATTGGAGCTCCAGTCGGGCACCGCATGCGAACCCTGCTCCGTATAGGGGTCACAAAGCGTGTGAGGGGTGTGCTGGAATGGGCACGCGGGGAGCAGACGAGGGAGGGGGAGGAGGAAGGAAGGCGAGGAGGAGCGCGGCGCTGTCTCCTGAAAGCGCGGACCCAACACCACAGGATGGCTGAGAAGCCCCCCGGGACGCCGCAGGAGGCGGGCCTCAAGCGGCCTCCTGTTTTTCTTCCTCCTCCTCCTCCTCCTCCTCCTCCTCCTCCTCCTCCTCCTCCTCCTCCTCTCCTCCTCCTCCTCCTCCTCCTCCTCCTCCTCCTCCTCCTCCTCCCTCTCCCAAGTGTGCCCCAAGGGGTTCTACAGCGGATGGGGGATCACATAGTCCAATAGCTTGGCCAGACTTCGGCCAAACGTCTGGAGGCGTGGGCGCTTCCAAAAGGCAACGGCGGTGACTTGCCGTAGGCGTCTTCGATCCGTCGCCCCCTGTGGGCTTGCCACGAAGGGTGCACGGCGTTTCTGGTGGGGTCTCGGCCCAACCCGCCGGCAACCTAGAAAACCCCGTGGCCGCGGGCCTTCCTGCTCAAGACGGCCTCCGAGATGGCCTCCAAGACGTCCAAGAGGTTCCTTAGAAGCCCCCAAGAGGCCACTCAGATGCCCCCAAGATGCGCGCAGGAAGCCCCCTAGGAGACCCCCAAGGGGGACCCAAGACGGCGTCAAGCGGCCTCCTCTTCGTCCTCCTGCTCCACCTCCTCGTCCTCCTCCCCCTCCCTCTTCTCATCCATTCTCTTCATCTCCCAGGTGCGCCCCCAAGGGGTTCCACAGCGGATGAGTTTCACATAGTCCCATGGCTTGGCCAGACTTTGGCGAAACGTTTGGCCGCATGGGCGCTTTCAAAAGGCAACGGCGGTGACTCGCCGTAGGCGTCTTCGATCCGCCGCCCCCTGTGGCTTGCCACAGGGGTGCACGGCGTGCCAAACTTCAGGGTGGTTTTAGTTCTTCTTCACAAGGTCCCAATGGAATCTCGGTTCATCGCTCGGGCAACCTGAAAAGCTGGGAACCAAACCAAGAAACTCGCATCCAAGACGGCCAAGTTGACCTCCAAGATGCCTCAAGACGGCTAAGATGGTCCCGAGAGGGCCAAAGATGGCCACAAGATGTCTCTAACACGGGCCCAGATGTACCAAGACGTCCCAAGATGGCCCACATACTGTCCAGAAGGCCCCCAAGACGCTCGCAGAGGGCTTCAAGAGGACCTCCAGGAGGCCAATACCACTCTTGATTGTTGTTTTTGTTGCTGGTTCTGTGGTAAATGTTTCAACGGTTTGAGCGTCTTTGTCTTTTCGGGTTTCCGACGCTCCAGGACGGCCCAGGAGGCCCCCAAGAGGCCAGCAAGACAGCCCAAGAGGGCCACAGGATGGCTCAAGCGGCGCCCCCGACGGCCCCGCAGACCTCCAAGACGCCCCTCAAGTGCCCACATAAGGATCTACGACTACCGAAGAGAGGCCACAAGACGGCCTCCGAAGGCCAAGAGGTCCACCCTGTGTCGGCGTGTGGAAGAGGCTTTTCGCTCTGCCCCCTCGGAGGCTTTCCTGTCTGCCCCCTCTTCGTCGTCGTCGTCGCTCCTTCCCCTTTCCCAGGCCTCACCCTCAAAAGGCAAAGCAAAAGGAAATTGACATTGAGCAATGTCGTAATCACAAATTGAACCACGTCGTCATTGAGTCGAAAGGGAATCCCTTCCCTTTCATCCCTTCCCCGCCAAGGGGGGGTGGTCCCGGGGGGGGGTCCCGGGGGGGGTCCCGGGGAAGTCCCGGGGGGGGTCCCGGGTCAGATACGACCCCCCCCCCGGGGAATCGCCCCAGGACGAGCCAAGAATGTCCCAAGAGACCTTCACGAGACCACGTCCTTTCTCCGTCAACATCTGCGGGCACCGCTACCACCCCCTGGAGGCTCCTCTTGAGACTCTCCTGGGGCCCTCAGCACACCAACAATCAATGATGTACCTTGCGTGTTTAACTGGTTTCGCGTTCTCACCCCTTCGGGCTTCAAGATTCGGGCGTTGGCAGAACTGGGTTTAGTGGGACCTGGTTTAGTGATGTGTGCTGGGGGGCGCCCCCCCGCCGCGTTCCACTAAGCGGAACTGCCGTCACCCGAAAAAACACCAGCTACGGCAGACCTGGTTTAGTGACTCTGGCCAATTCAGGGGCTCCAGGGCCCTACCACTAACCGGGTCCCCTTACCTGGGGTCTTGGCTATACCCGAAAGATGGCCCCATGAGGCCTCCAAGGTAACGCCAAGACGGCCCAAGAAACCCCCACGAGGGCCCCGAGGAAGGGCAGTAGGGCCCCAAGATGGCCCAAGATGCCCCCAAGGCGGCCCCAAGAGGACCCCAGAGACCTCCGAGACGGCCCGAAAGCACCCCAAGAAAGTCCCAAGACTGCCCGGACGCGTCCCAAGAGGGCTCCAACACTGCCCAATGATGCCCCCAAGACGGCCTTCGAGGATCAAGAGGCCTCTGACGGGCAAGAGGGGGTCCCAAGAGACCCCCAAGAGGCTCCAGGAGACCCCCAAGAGATCCCCAAGAGGCCCCCAGAGGCCCTCAAGATGCTACCAGGCATCCTGCAGGAGGCCCTAAGAAGCCCTCAAGAAGCCTCTTTTTCCTCCTCCTCCTCCTCCTCCTCCTGGCAATAGCCCCCATGTGTTCCCCAGAGGGTTTCCCACGTTTGTCCCGAAGTTCGGGGACCATATTGATTGCGCTACAGCCTGGTATAACCTTCGCCCAACGTTTGGCCACATACTTTGTTTTCCATGGGCAGGTAGGGGCGGCGGATAGCCGTATGCGTTTTCGACACTCATCGATTGGCACTCTTGAGCTTATATATCTATATATACATATATATATATATATGTGTGTTTATACACTGCACTGTTTGCGAACAAGGTGAGCCCCATGACTTGTATTGTTCGACGATGTGCTGTTTGAAGTAGCTTCCGAACATGCAAGTGTCCTGACCGATCAAAAACAAAACTATGCACCTGTGATGGAGCAAGCAAGGCGACAGAACACTCGTACACCGTACAGAACGGCTCGCGCGAACATCTGTAGCCACGCGCCTCATGAACAGACGACCGACGAGAAAGTGTGGGCAATTAGCCTGGCGAAGGACCGACACCCACAATTTAACCACGTGGCGATTATAACCAAGACCGTTCAATACACAAGAACCACAAGAACACCCAGACGGATTTGCAGTACCCTTGAATGCTTCGCCGAAGAACGTCAAAACGCACTCGGCGTTCTCCATTCACGCACGCACTCTCACGGCTGAAATCGCAAACGGGGGGGGGCCACGAAGAGTGTGAGGGGTGTGCCGAACTAGGATGGGGCGAAACGATGCGAACGCAACCACTGGAACGTTCGATGGACCTCCCTATGCGGCCACCAAGTGTGTGAGAGGTCTGCCGGAATGGGGCGAGGCACCATGCGAACGCAGCCACTGGAGCCGTCGGTGGAGCTCCATGAGGTGCCACGAAAAATGTGAGGCGTGTGCCGAAAGGGGGCGGGGCACCATGCGAGCCCTACCTCTGGGGCCTTCGATGGAGCTCCCTGAAATGCCACGAAACCTGTGAGGTCTGCCACAGGGGGCGGGTCACTATGTGAACCCAGCAACTGGAGCCTTCGGTGGAGCTCCCTGCGAGGCCACGAAACGCGTAAGGGAACTGTCAAAATGGGGCAGCGCACCATGTGAACCCAGCAACTGGGGCCTTCGGTGGAGCTCCCTGTGCCCTGTGGGCACACGAAGCGTGTGAGGGGTGCCGGAACGGACATGCGGAAGGCAGAGCAAGGGGAGGATACTGAGAGCAGGTGAGGAGGATGATAAGGAGGGAGAAGGGGGGGGGAGAGGAGAGGAGTGAGACGCGCGGCGTTGCGAAATCAAAGCGAGGACCCAACTCAAGGGAGGGTTGCGGAACAACTAAATATCTGCCCACCTGGTCTGGCGTGCGGCGTGCGCGAGGGGCCGCCGCTGCGCTGCCCCCCCCGCTCAGGCACGCCTGCCCCAGCAAGCCCAGAAAAATCAGGCCGCATCTTGCCCGAACCCACTACATACCCTCCCCCCTCTTCTTGATCATGAGGAGCAACGCCAGGGGGTGGGTGGGGCAGCTCGGGGGGGGAAACATCGACCTGGAATCGCGACACATCGCAGACAAATCGGCGATAGGCCCCCGGTAGCGAATCCGCAAGGTCCTGGGCGGGGTGGGGCTATCGGGCCCCCATCGGCGATCCATGGCCGATTGGGAATCGGCGCACCCACCCCTGAGCCTACCCCCCCCACGCTGCCCCTGAGATCCCGATCCCAACTGGGGAAAAGTTCCGAGGCGGAGGAGGAGGAGCAGGAGGGGCAGGAGGAGGAGGAGGAGGAGCAGCAGGAGGAGCCGGAGGAGCAGGAGGAGGAGGAGGAGGAGGAGGAGGAGGAGGAGGAGGAGGAGGAGGAGGGAGGAGGAGGAGGGGGAGGAGGAGGAGGAGGAGGAGGAGAAGGAGGAGGAGCACAGGAGGAGCAAGAGGAGGAGGAAGGTCCTGAGCGAGGGCAGGTCAAATCCCGGGGGCGCTCGGCCAACTTATAGAGGATATTTGGGCCACTCTGGGCCCCCTGCTGCTCTTCTGCAGCCGCTTGCTCCCGCGCGCCGACTTGGTCATTGTTCGTGCGGTCTCTCTCTGTCCCTCCCGCGCTTTCCATCACACTGCAAGAAGAAAAAGGTGAGCGTTTTTTTATTCAGCGTTTCGACATTGGGCGGAAAGGGGGGAGAGGGGGGGGGCCTGGCTCCAGACCTCTGCTTCGTGCATCTGTTTGCAACAGTGCGCCCCACGGGGGAGTCTCCACCTGCTCGAAACAGGCGCGAAAAAACAGCCAAGATGTATTCCATAGGGGGGGGGAAGGGGGGGGTTGGGGGCCCGCGCCGATCGGCAAAACAATGAATAAGAAAACGATCACAAGGCACGTGCACTGATTGATGTCCGAATTCTGCAATCCTCATCCCTCTGATGCCCTCGTCCATGCCAGGGAGCATTTGTCCGATACCAAACCGGTAGTCGCGAGACGTGCCCTTGGTGTCCTCGATCGTGATCTGACATGGCGTGCAAGAGTACTCAAGGGTAAGAAGGCGACAAAGGCACCGTGATCGACGCACTACACCGTACTCTAACTTGTTCGTGCTACTTGTCTGCATCCTGAAACTTACCACTACCACGGATTGACACAACAGTAGGCACATGCGGCTTCCAAACCCACCTCGCCATTCATACTAAAATTCACATCCATCGTAACCAACTAAGTCACACATGTGCCTTCAGTAGTGCTGCGAGACAATCGAGACAAACTCATGCTTCATACTTGTCTTCTCTTAACCACGCCTCTCGATCTTCCAAAATGGGCGAGTCGGTGGGTCGTCACCAACTGACAGTCGGAACGAAATCGCATCCATATCCGTACCCAGTGTGTGTGTGTACGTACAATCGAATTCTACCAGAAATTGCGGAGATGCCGCCAATGAAACAAAATATCCGAATTCCAGAATTCATCGGCCGAACTTGTGAACTAGTCTCCCTCGCACATTCGCCCGTGAATGATCCAGTCCCTCTCCTCACTGCATTCGCTCTGCAGTCCCAGCCCTCTCTACAGTTCCCCCACCACATTGTGCAGTCACATCGAATGTTAATTTCCTGCTTCCCAGTGTCAGATACAACGTAAGAAACGATGCTTGCCTGGCGCTCCTTTACCACACACTTCACCTTGTAATCAACGGCAATCAAGTCCCCTACCTTGGCCGTTGCGCCGGTGCCCACCTTCGGAATCAATAACAGCATCCATGACTGCGCCCTCAGCCCCCCTGTCGCGTACTCTCAGATGGTGCGCTCGCCATGTTGCGTGTAACCCTTTATTCCGAATCCTCACGATCTATTCCTTTGTGGGGTCGGTGGCTTTACCAGTGCAACTTCTTATGGCTAACGCCTTACACCTTTCAACGTGACCTTTTTGGGAAGATGACAGAGTGAATTTGAAGCATTCATCACAGCTGCACGCAAGAGGGCGGATATCACATGCCCTTAAAATCGGATCGAACGCGAACATGATAATACGCTGTCTATCACGATCAATCCTGTCAATCTCGCGCGCGGCCGACTCGGTACCCCGCTTTGTTTCTCACAACAAGGTGCCAAGGCCCCCAAATTATCACCGGGTGGTGGTCGTCAAAACGCAGCACAGGACCCACGTTCAACAACTTCACATTGCCCCTGGGGGCAAACTGCGCCTGTCACTTGTTCGTTCCCCAGGCAACTTGCTTGGAAAGGTTTCTGATGACACTTTCTGGGGAACCGAGAAGTACGTGGGTTGCTGGATCCAGGATCGGTGGGACGACAATGTCTCCCATTGTTTCCCATCGTCTCCAATTTTTCCCCACTATCTATCCCTATCCGTACCCCTATCCCTATCGCGAGCCCCATCTTTTCTGTTTTCCAATCCCTCTATCCCTCTCCCTTTTCTCCCTATCTCTGTCCAGTTTCCTAGATCTCTAGCCCTATGCCCATCCCTGCATCCAGAACTATGCCCCTGGCCCCGTATCCCTGTTCCCATCCCTGCCCTCATCCTGACCCCCCCATCGTGGCCCCCTATCGCAGCTGTGCCAATGAAGGGAAACTGGGACACACAAATAAATAGACACAAATAACAAGATTCCCAATATTTTTCCAGATTTTCTGGGTTTCTGTCTTCCCCCCCACTTCCCATACTTTCCAATATTTTCTGGGGAATCGACGATTAATTGTGTCTGTGTGTTTTTCCCCTCATGAGTTGAATCTGTTCAGGGCCTTCTGCCGCAGGGGTGTCACTTCTTCCCGCCGCCTCTGAGCACACGGGTGTACCTGCCACCTCGAGCCCACCTCTGGCGACCGCGCATGCGCGCACAACGCGTGAACCCACGCACCACAAGTCAGGGCTGGACCCAAATGTTTTTTTCGTCTTGTCTTCGTTTCGTTCTCGTTTGCTCTGCCCGTTTCCCTGCACTCCCCTTTCCAAGACGAAAAACAGAACACAGCCGAAGTCCAGCAAAACAGCGTCTAGGTTTAGGTCGGGCCTGTCCCCCTACAGGGGGATTTTGGAGGACAAATTTAAACAATACGCAGAACATGCCCCAAACGTGCCCCAGAATACTCAAAACATCGTCCCCATTCATGGTGTTCCAACCTACTTTAGCCTTGATCACCAGAAAACAATTCGAGCGCACACCTCGAGGATTTTCACGCATCGGGCCCCGGGAGACACTGTTTCGACACTCTGCCGACCCTCTTCTGTGAGCTCGACAGTATTTTTGGGATGTGGTCCTCAAGAACGATGGGAGCAACGTAAGTCCCCAGACTATCTCCTGATGATTTGTGAGTACCCCTCCCGATAGAGGGACGGGCCCGGCAGAAGTTTGGGCCCGGCCCGGCCACGGGCCGCCAAACCCACTCGGGTCGGGCGGAAAGGGGGGGGATTGCAAAAGGGGGGTTTGAGAATCAGCTCGCGTAGTTTTTTTTTTTGTTTGTTTATATATATATATATATATATATATATATATATATATATAAACAAAAAAAACATATCACCAGCAGAGTTACGGTTCATTCTCGCGCGCAGATGCATGCGGCAAGATATACTGTAGAAAAAACGGCCGATAGAGAATCAGCTCGCGTAGCTGATTTTCCCGGCGCCTCCCGGCGCCGGAGGCGGGGCTGTGTATCGAGGAATGGGCCCCTCGGTGAGGCCGAAACCAGCTGCATGCAGCAAATTTCGTACCCCCCCCCTTTCCCCAGACCTTCCAGAGAGCTTTTTTTTGGCACTGGGGACCTAAGAACCTGGAAAGCTGCGCGAAGCAGCCTAAAACCAAGACGTAGAACAGCTCTGGGATAGGCCTTTACGTCGGGTGCTATTTTGTAGCCCTCCTGGAAGGTCAGGGCAGTGCATGCAGCAGATTTCTAGGGCGACGAGATCTATGCATATCCACTGCTCCTGGCCAGGCCAATCCTGGGCCCAGGAGCGGTGTATACGCCCTCCTGGCCTGGCCAGGGAGGCATATACACAGCTCCTGGGCCCAGGATGGGCCTGGCCAGGAGCAGTGGATATGCATAGATCTCGTCGCCCTAATTTCGTAACCCCCCCTTTCCCAATCCCCCCCTTTCGCGTCCGGCCCGACCCGCCGAGAGCTCGCCGTGCCGGCCCGCCGAGAGCGCGCGCGCGCGCCGAGCGCGCAGAGGTCCACGGGCCCCGCGGGGCCTCGCCGAGGGCAGCGGGCGCCCCACGGGCCCCGCGGGCCTCTCGCCATCGCTCGGACGTCCATTCCCAGTGTTTTTTTTTTCGGTTTCGTGCGTGGTTTCTCGCCAAATGATCAGGGATGCTCCTCGATGGTTCTCGCCGAGAAAAAAATGCACACGGCCGAGCGATGCCAGGGCCTGCAGGCGCGCGGGCCGTGCGGGGCCCGCAGCGAGGCGGGCGCGCGACAGGCGTCGCAGGCCCCAGGGATTGGCACCCGCGCCAAGTTCGGCGGTGTGCCTCCACCGAAGGGAGGAAGACCCCGATCTCGGTGATGGTGGTGGTGATGTTATGGCTTCCAGGGTGGCCGAAAGATTACCACTAACGCTGAAATCTGGGATCATCTTCCCCCTGTGGAGGCAACCCCCTGTGCTGGTGTTGGTGCCCATTTCCAGGCCTCCAAAAACGCGCCGAATGCAGCCGCACACGGGCGAAACGGCGTGTGCATCTTGGACAGCCAGAGAGCCCGCGATCGGCCCTTGGAACAGATCCTCCACGCGTGCGTAATTAGGCCTTCTCACAGCATTGGTGCTCTCCCTTGTGACGGACTAAAGTCGCGGGCCCAACGGGCCAGAGGCGCGCTAAAATCTCTGGCAACAGCTTAGCAATATTTCTACTTCGCTCGCGTGTTGTGTCCCCTGGGGTCCCAAACGAAAAGTACTCCAGGAGACTCCCGTCAAGGATGCCGTACTTCGAGGGGTGCGGTTTTCAGAGCGTTCCAGAGCGCTCCAGGAGCGCCACAAGGGGCCCCAAGTGAGCTCCAAGAGTGCCCAAGTGTCAGGATCAGTGAGTGGCAGGCCCCAAGATGGTCCGAAGACAACCCCAAGAGATTTCAATATAGCCTAAAGATGGTTCAAGATAACTCCATGAGAGCCCCCGGAAGCTCGCTTTCAATTTTTCTCTTTTGGTTTTTGAAAGATTTGGGCGTTACCGTCTTTTCGGGCTTCCGACTGTCCAAGACGGCCCAGGAAGCCCCCAAGATCGCCCCAAGACAGCACAAGAGGCTCCAAGGATGGCCCCAAGAAGGCCCAAGAGGGCCCCAAGACGGGCCAAGATGCCTCCAAGAGGGCTCCAGAGGCCCCTTAACCAGAGCCCCACGAGGGCAATCCGAACTGCCACTTGGAGCCCTCCCACCGAAGATGGCACCCGAGACCGCCAGCAAGCCCCGAAGGGGCCCCCAAGAGGCCGCCAAAGGCCCCCAAGACACCCCCGAGAGGCCTCAAGAGACCCGCAAGAGGCCTCCAAGAGGCCCCCAAGATGTCTCCAAGACACCCCCGAGAGAAGAGGCCCCCAAGAGGCTCCCAAATGCCGCCAAGAGGCCCCCGAGAGAACTCCCAGGAGTCCCCTACAAGCCTCACAACAAGGCCTCTTGTCCACGTTCCAGTATGGCCGAACGCTTCTAAACACTACATACAGAATGGGCTGGCGGAATGAGAGAAACGATCGAATGTAATGTCACACACGGCTCGATCTCGGAATAGTGCCTCGCAGAGGAGTCGAGCTGGAATGGCTGGACATCAAGCAACGAATCGCTCAAGAAACGTATGGAACCAAACATTCATTCAATCACAATTGGTCGGGTTCGTTCGAGACCAAATTTGAGATTCCGCTTTCCCATATTCATCTTCAGACTCCATGGCGGGCCACATCAACGATTTCCGAACGGACCTGGTGCCGATAATGCGTACGGAAACCGAACTGCGCGAAGCCGAGCGTCAAACGTGCCAGTGTGCACGGGATGTGCCTCACAGGTGGCGTGGCATCCAGCGCAGCGGATAACGCGAACGCCTTACCGAAAAAGCGTCCGCGGGAATCGCGCAGGCACGAGTCCACGCTGGAGGCGATGCCCGATCGCCAGAGATTTCGCCTGGAGGAGGAGGAGGAGGAGGAGGAGGAGGAGGAGGAGGAGGCGGAGGAGGAGGAGGAGGAGGAAGAGGAGAAGGAGACGGAGACGAGACCACTCCGCCGGGCGCGCACGGGGTGAAGCGTGCCTGTGGAGGGAGGGCGTGCCATGAAGAGCAGCACACGGAGGTGGTATGGGGGCAGGAGGTGGGCAGAGGAGGTGGGATGGGGGAGCTTGCCGTCGCTCGGACGTCCATTTCCCGTGCATGTTTTGGTTTCGTGCGTGTTTTTTTTGCTCGATGGTCCAGGATGCTCCTCCAGGGTCCTCGCCGAGAAAAAAATACACACGTCCGAGCGATGCCAGGGGAGGGGAAGGGGGAGAAAAGCGAACGAGAGGGGGGGAGGGGGGACGGAACGCGGGCGAGAAAGGCCTGGAGAGGCAGCAGCGCGGGCGGGGAAATGGGGTGCGGAGAGGGGTGCGGCACTCGAGGGCGAGATCGGCCAGTGGGCCTTGATGTCCTCCCACGCGACGCCACCAGTGTGAAGGTCGTCCTGGGTCGCATCAGTCTTTCCCCAACAGTGAACTGCTCAGCCTGCTCCTGTCCCTCGTCTAAGTTATCCTCTTCCTCCTCCTCCTCCTCCTCCCTCCTTTCCCTTCCCATTGACCATCACCGTCACCACCGCCAGGGTCGCCACCGT